GGACCTGGGAAAAAACAGAGAGCATGATGCCCCTTGTGCACTGGGGTTGGAGGTTCGGAAGGCTTCGATTCCTCACCCACGGGGACTCCCAGCCGGAATGTAAGATACGCCTCTTGCTCAGGGCTGGTGTGTGAGAGCCAAGTCGTGCGGCCACCTAGCGGTGACTTCAGGCGTGCCGCCGGGTCTCCCACTCCCCTTCCCCGGGCACAGCGCTCGGGGCTGCGTGAGCTCGCGGCCTAGGAGGTGAGTGGCAAAGCGGGAGCCCCTGAGCTGGGGGGCACCCAGGCCTGCTGGGAACAGGGAGACGAGAGGGTGGCAGCCTGCGGGAGGTGGGCCCGGGCCTTGGGGACAGCACAGGTCCAAGGGGCACTGGGCAGGGGCAGGGGCAGGGCCTGTGCCAGCCCCGCGTGTTTCTCCTTCCGAGAAGGAGGGCCCCCTCTCTCCAGGGCTCCCCACCGTCCCCCACAGCGGGCACCCCTCTCAGATGGTCGGGGGCAGAGGCCCCCTTGGTTCCGGGCAGGCACGTGCCTTTGCTGCTCCCAGCTCCCCACCCACGAGGCCCGGCTCCCAGACAGGGCTCCTGACATTGGTCGAGACCGTGTGTTTTCTGGAAGCTTCCAACGTGCCAGGCCGCTCAGGGAAGGGGAGGGCATGCTGACCCAGCTCTGGGTGGGCACGGCCCTGGTTCTGGCCCTGGCGGCCTCCCTCCCATAGGTCTATGCCCCTCAGGTCCAGGGTGGCAGCCCGGCAGGATTGGTGGGGGATTCGCCCTCGGCAGCGAGCTGGCCTGTGGTGGGCAGAGGGGGCACCAGCCCTGGTGAGGGGCGAAGGGCTCCCAGGGCCGGAAGCACGTGGGTGAAGGCTGAGGCTCGGCCGGGCTTGGCGCCGCCCCCACCTCCTCGCGGCTCCTGGAGCTGCGGGCAGCGAGGCCCCCGGCCCCCGCCCTCGGCACGGCGGCGCGCCCACTCCCACACCTGTGCAAACATCCGCCCGCCGGCCAGGAAAACGGCCCCTTTGTGCCCGGCTTGGCACCGGTGCCCCAGGCCTCGCCGTCAGCTGCAGCCCCAGCCTCGGCCACCGTGGGCCCTGGCCTGGCCATTGTTCCCGCCGGGCCCTGGGCCGCCCGGGCCCCTGACACCCGGGCTCGGGGGCAAACAGCTCCCATTCATCGCGGCGGCTGCCCCTGCAGCTGTCCGGTGCCCCCCGCGGCTTGAGTTATGGGCTGTGTTCCTGGCGCGTCTCGGGGGCTCCGGGCCAGTGGCATCTGTGGCGATGCAGTTGTTGTGCATCGGCTTCCTGTGTCCCGGCTGCGTCCCCCCCGTCCCCCCACCCCACGTGCAAACGGGCACCTCCCCCCTGCCCAGCCCTGAGAGACGGGGGGCTCCTACCCACTGGGTGGTAAGGACCCCGGACAGGGCCAGGGTCACCGGCCGGGCCATTTCTGATCTGCGTGCCGGGGCCGCCCAGGAGCCAGACCAGCTGCTCAGGCGCGGGGGGCGGACCCAACAGCGGGGCGTCGGGCGCCGGGGCCTGAGTGCCGTCCGCTGTGTCTCCTCTGGAGCCGGGAGCCCCCTGGGAGGCCACGTGGGCCCCAAGGGCCATAGGAGCCAGGGGTGGCCCAGTGCCCCCGCCGGTCAGCCCTGGTGGTTGCCGGGTGAACGAATGAGTGAAGGAGCCGGTGCCTCGGGGTGGCTCTGCCTGGCATCGGGCAGTGGGGTGTTGGTCTCCTGGGCTGTCCCAGAGTCCCGGGGTCCCCCACGGGGTCTTACACAGCAGCCGCATGCTCCCCAGGTCTGGAAGCCAGGAGGCTGACCTCTAAGTGTCGGGGGGCCGCGCTCCCTCCGGAGGCTTTGGGGAGGGTCCCCCTGCCTCCTGCAGCTTTGGGGGGCCCAGGACCCTCTGGGCGTGTGGCGCATCTTCTGTCTCTTACGGGGACACTCGTCATTGGTCGGGGATAACTGGGTCACCCCCTCCTCAGCCTCCGTGACGAGGGCCCTGTGTCCACGGACGCTCACAGTCTGGGGGTCGGGTGGACACACATCTCAGGGGACACTATTCAGCCAGGACAGCAGGCGTCCGGGTGGACTCCCTGGGACAGTGCTCCCCTCGCCCAGCCCCAGTTCCGCTCTGCGCAGCGAAGGGGCCGGCTCTGTGACCGGTGCCCCCTGCCCCCCCTCAGAGGTGGGGACGCCCCTCTGGTGTGAGCGCTCCCCGCTCCCCCACGTGCGGCGCCCCACGCCTGGCCGCTGGGTGTGGGGAGGACGGGAAGACTTTTTCCTTCGCCCCTGGAACAAAACGCGAGTGTTTGTGTTCGAGCCGGGGCGGCGGGGACGGGCTCTGACACACGGGCGCCTCTGTTTCGTGCCCCGGGGTCTCCGATCGGAGGCCGCTGGGCTCTGGTTTCCCGGGATCTAAATTTAGAGTCCAGAGTGAAAACACGGGAAGCCGGCCCTGCCCCTCGGCCGCCATGTAGACTGGTCTGCCCCCCGCTCACGCCCTCCGCCACGCGGCCCAGCAGCTCCGGCCTCGCGGGCTGCCTGGCGTCCTGGCAGGGGGCGGTCAGAGGGCTCTGGGGCCGAGTGGGCGCCTGGGTGAGGACAGGGCCTCCCAGACACTCAGGCAGAAGCCCTGGGTGGGGCCAGCGTCAGGACCTCATTGGAGCTGGAGAAACGGAGGCCCATGGCCCCAGGGGTGGCAGCCAGGCCCCCACCCCAGCGCTCAGAGCCCACCCACCCAGGCCCTTCCTCTGGGGGAAGCCTGGGGGGACCTGAGGGTCCCCAGGAACCCAGGCTGCCAGCGGCCCCCGCACAGCCCTGTGCCTGTGGACCACGGAGTGGGGGGTCACCGTGGATTCTGGGAGCCGAGCCAGAGGGCCGTCCCCAAGGAAGGGCCTTTACAGCTGGGTTTTGCAGGAGGAGTAGGAGTCTACAAGGCAGCTTCACGTCCTGCCCCCTGGCGGACACCTGGGGGTGCGCAGTGAGGGTGGTGTGCAGGATTGATTTTGGGGGGGGTGGGGTTCAGCACATGTCAGCGAGGGTAAGAGCTTGCCAGCTTCAGCCCGGGGGAGAGAAACGATGCCGGCATCAGGAGACACCGCGAGACAGGACGCGGCACCGTGACCGGGTGGGCAGGAGCCTGGGGCCAAAGCCAGCCGCGGGCGGCATCCGAGCTCCACCACTGACCCGCTGTGTGGCCCGGGCGGCTCACCCCACCTCTCTGGGCCCATCTGTGAAGTGGGTATAAGATGAGCACCTCCTTCCATGGGTCGTCGGGGAGCGATGTGAGTGAGCGCACAGGAAGCCTGGGCACCCGGCGCCCAGCAGGGACGCAGGAAAGGCTGGTGGTACCTTCTAGGCGGCAGCTACCAGTCACCGTTCTCCTGGCAGGGCCCAGAGCCAGACGCTCAGGATGGCCCAGAGCAAGCTAATTCACACTAACGTGTTTATGGTTGCCAGCGTCCAGTCACACTCCTTAGCCCTCTGGCCTCGAGGGTCCTGCCACCCGCCCAGCCTCCTCTGGGCAGGTGGGTGGCTGGAGGCTGGGCGAGGTCTGGACGGTGAAGCGGGCAGCCGCTGGCCTCAGCTCTGCGGCCCGGCCTTCCTGGCATCCTGGTGTGGCGTCTGGGGCCGGGCTGGCCTCGGTCACGCCAGCTCGGTCCCTCCCCAGCGGTGGCACCTCGGGCACAGTGACAAAGCTACAGTGGCAGAGGCCGAGGCAGAGGTGGTTAGGGGCGATCAGGCTGGCAGGAGGGAGCAGTTAGGAGGCAATCAGGCTGGCAGGGGAGGACAGTTAAGTGGTGGTCAGTATAGCAGGCAGAGGCGGTTAGGGGCGATCAGGTTGGCAGGGGAACAATTAGAGGCATCAGGCAGGCAGAGGTGGTTAGGTGCGATCAGGCAGGC